TGTATTAATATTCTGTTCGTAATTTGTTACTTTAACAATTCACTTGTTATTAAAATGGCATACACAAATGAGGAAATAGCTGATATGTATTACGTTTACGGTCTGTCGCAGGGGATTGGGTTAGAAGCTTCTAGAAGATATGCTGAAATGTGTCCTCAACGGCAGCATCCTTCACATAGCATATTTGCCCGACTTCATCAACGATTACGAGAATATGGTTCATTCAACAAAAGAACGCACGATTGTGGTCGCCATCGAGAAGTAAGAACACCACAGCTTGAGGAAGCACTACTTAATTTTATTAAAGAACAACCTACTACCAGTACTATAAAGATTGCTTTCCAGCTAAATGTTGATCATATGACGGTATTTCGAATTTTAATGGAACATCTCTTATACCCTTACCATCTACAACGAGTACAGGCACTGTTACCGCGAGACTTTCCGAACCATCTTGAATTTTGCAATTGGATGCTGGAAATGATTAGAAGAAAACGTGAGTTTCTGAAGACGATCGAATTCACAGACGAATGTAGTTTTTCTCGGGACAAGATTATTTTATATTATTTTCATGATTACCACATAATAATAATATAATAATAAATTAATTTATTTACACTAATTTATACAAAAATACAAAATATAATAATACCATCTCGATATAGGTGTAAATAAATGAAAAAAATCGTTAAGTGAATTTTTCACTTGTTTCGATACAGTAACAATAAAGTAGAAAAAATTACAATACATAAATACAAAAAATAATAAATAATAAAATTACAAAGGTCAGAAAGTGTTAATACAGCTTTATACACATATACACACATACACACATATATGAATATATATACAAATATTGATACAATAAATTAAAATAAATAAAAAAATATAGTAGATATTATAGCTCAGAAAGTGGAAGATTTAATATATACAAATATAGAACGCTGGATCTAGGAATTTTCAACTATACTAATTATTGACTGCCTCGTTTGTTCATATAAGTATGATTTCAAATATTTTTTGAATTTATGCGGATTAGTTATTACTCTTAATTCTAGTGGAATCGTATTAAACAATTTTGGGCTCATATATGAATACGAACGCTGTCCAATTGAGTTTTGCATATAGGGAGTTATTTGAAATTGTCTATTCCGTGTGCAGTAAGTGTGTGATGGTATGGTGAATTTCTTATTCATGTAGTAAGAAAAAACAATTCTAAAATAATAGAGCTGACGAATATCAAAAATTTTTGCCTCAATATATAACTGGTCAGTGGGAAATTTCAGGTCCTTTTTAAATATTAATTTTAGAAATCTTTTCTGTAAAATCTCTAATGGATGAAGGTGAGTTTTCAGTGCATTACCCCAAATAAGAAGGCCATATCTGAGGTGACTCTCAACCAGTGCATAATAGAGGATTTTAAGCTGGTTAATGTTTAAAATTGATGTTAAATATTTAAACTTATAGAGAATACATCTTAATTTTTTGCAAGTATAAAAAATATGTAAATCCCATCTCATATGCGAGTCCAAATATATACCCAGATATTTCATATTATCTTCTGAATTTATTATATATTGATTGTTACTGGTATTAATATTTAGTTGATTGAAGGAGGGAGCTATGGATTTGTTACAGAAGAAAGAGATATAAAATGTTTTTTCAACGTTTATTGTTAGTAGTTTATAGTTTAACCAATTTTGTATTGCAGGAAAATCATTTTCAACCATATTTTTCAGTTGCTCCCATGTGTCAGCAGTATAGAAGACCGCCATATCATCTGCGAACCCCAGAATTTCACCCTTAGACTTAATCGAAAATAAGTTATTTATGTACAAATTAAATAGGAGTGGACCTAATATAGTGCCTTGGGGCACACCATATTTAATAGTCATAAAATCACTGTAACTATTGTCTATCCTTACGGTTTGCATTCTTTCATTTAAATACGTTTTAAATAAATTTAATGAAGTGCTTCTGATTCCAATATCTTCCAATGTTTGCAGGAGAATGTGATGGCTTACCGTGTCAAATGCCTTTGATAAATCAAGAAACACGCATAAACAAGGTTTACTGGCATCTAATGATGAATATATTTTTTGTGTTAACGCCGAAATCGCATCTTCTGTTGATTTCTTTTTCTTAAAACCATATTGATTGTTAGATAATAAATTATATTTGGTTATGTATGAGTTTAGGCGAATTTCCAAAACTTTTTCAAATACCTTTGAAAAACAAGATATAAGAGATATTGGACGATAATTTATTACTTTATTTGCATCACCTTTTTTAAAGATCGGTATTACGACAGTTTCTTTTAGACATGATGGCCATTTACCACTGTCCATGCAAACATTAAAAATATATGATAAAGGCTCTTCAATATAGGGTAATATCATTTTTAAAACATCACTTTTAATTCTATCGATCCCTGGTGCTTTTTTTTGTTTTTAAATTATTAATTATATTTCTTACTTCTTTCACATCAATAGGGTACAACACAAAACTATTTGGGATACATCTTTTTGGAGGAATATACTGAGGGTCTTGTATGATTTTTTTGCTAGAGTTTCTCCTGTTTTTACAAATATTTTATTAAATTCATGAGATATTTGGATTGGATCTGTTAGTAAATTTCCCACTTCATCCTTTATCGATTTTATTTCAAGATTCTTTTTATTGCAATGTAACATATCATTAATATTTTTCCAAAGTTGCTGTGAGTAAGATTTATTTTTATTTATGAGATTTTGATATTATGTATATTTGCACTGTTTAATTAAATTTGTTATTTTATTTCTTACATTTTTGTATTCACTTTTTAAATAATCATTATTAGGATACCTTTTTACTTGTTTGTGTAATTTATTTTTATTGTGTATTGTTCTGACCAGTTCATTAGTTATCCAGGGTGTAATTTTTGAATTTTTTCTATATACCTTGACGTTTTTTGTACAATGATTTATGTGTGATGTTACCTGTAAGTCAAATGGCACCATCGATCATCTTTAAGTCGCCCCGGAGCGCCACGGCAAATAATAATAATAGCCGTCCCTTCCCCTACACAAGTCGTTCAGTCGACTTCAGGGGTTGAAATTCACTCGTAAGGGGGTGAATTAGGGAGAGTATTATTATTATTATTATTATTATTATTAATGTCAACGAAATTTTTTGTTATAGAGTCAGGTTCACTGATTTCAAAGAGATTATTCCAAGAAATCTGGCGAAATTGTTTTTTTAATTTTTCATAATTAATATGTGCTTTAGTATGTTGTATGCGATTAGACATGTTTTTGTTATTATTAAGATTGTGGATTAGTTGCAGTGCCGTGGAATAATGATCTGTAATGTTAGTTTTTATTATTAAAGGTATTATGGGCTGATGAAAACCCTCACGCTATTGTCGAAACTCACCATCAAGAACACTTTTCTCTTAACGTGTGGGCCGGAGTTATTGATGATTATTTAATTGAGCCTCATTTTCTACCTCCTCGATTAAATGGTGAGGCATACGTGCATCAAGTACTGCTGGAGGAAGTTGCTTTGGGCGTCAGAAGGGATATGTTTTTTATGCATGATGGGGCTCCCGCCCATTTTAGTCAAGTAGCACGTCAGCATTTAACTGAAACATATGCAAATCAGTGGATAGATCGAGGAGGACCACAGAATTGGCCCGCTCGATCCCCGGATCTCAATCCTCTCGATTTCTCTACTTGGGGCCATTTGCAGCATTTGGTTTATCGTACTCCTGTTCGCGATGTAGAGGAATTAAGAAACCGCATCATCGATGCGTGCAGGGTAATTAGAGAGACTCCAGGATTATTTGAGCGAATACGTGGCTCAATGCGCCGACGTCTAGACGCATGCGTAATGTCTGAAGGTAGACATATTGAACATTTACTATGATTTCTACATGTTGTATGTTTTGTTATTAATAAATTAGTTTTGATTATTCCCCTTTTTAATCATTTAATGCAGGTAGTAACTACAAAATAACAATAAATTCAGTTCGTATTTATGACGATGTATCTCTGTAGTTGTTCGTAAAATAATTTTTTGCTGCGAACTGGTTTATTTTGGGCAAAAAATTCAAGAAACATTTTTTGTTTAGAATGAAACAGGCTATCGGAAATAAATTTTTAAATGGTAAACTAATAAGACAAAAAGTTACGTTGGAACGAAATTTTAGGGGTTGCGTTTTCCACCCCTTACAACCATGGGGTAAACCAAATAAATTACTGGCTAAGTGTCTTTTTGGTAGTAGAAAATGACAAGTTAATTTCAATATTGTAACTTGTTTAGTGCTTGTGAAAAAAAATGGTTAAACAAATTTTATGTACCCCTTTAAGGGGCTGTATCTTAACAAGGGATGCTCCAATGAAGTTTCTTTATATGAAAGATCCTATCTTTTTTTCGATGAGGAATCACTCCCTTAAATGTTTTACACTTATTTAGTTACACCCTCTATAGAACAAAAAATAAATCAATATTATTCCATTTTAAATATAAATTTGTATTACCTTAATCGAGCCAGTTGCTTATTTTTCCGTTTGTATGTTAGTTTTATTTTTCCCATCTTTCACAAAAATAGACTTAACTTAAAAAACCAACTCTATACTCCTAAATGTAATTTAATCTAACTGCAGCTATTCACTAAATTAAAATATAAAAATATTGTAAACACTCTCTAATAAATCGAACTGCTTTATGAAAATATCTCACAATGCACCAAGAACAACTAAATGCGGTTCTGGATTCCTTAGTTTAGGTAACTCTGGCTCACTTAAGACCTCTTGGACGTGGTAGGGAAATAATATATGTGATGGAGTACACGATTTCGATTTCGAACGTTTAAATTTTGTAGGTACGCTCTTAAAAAATTTTTATAATTGCACATTTATATTTTCTCGTTATCGTATTGTGTGTTGTGTACTCATCTGTACACTTTAATTATGTAAAAATAAATAAAAAAAAATCTCTATAATTATTCTTTATTGCAGACGAAGATCCACAAGACCAAATCCTTCATCCGTCAGAAAATACACGACAATCTCATACATCGATGATTTTTCAAAATCGTTATCAAAATACGTCACAAGCCTCAGCCCCCTCCCTCATACAATCGAACTTGCTTTCGGCAGGACTCAGCACAATAGGTCAACCTTACTCCTCGGACATTTGTAGTTACGGCCCTGTGTATCACTCGCACAACATTCTGCATAATTACAACCCTGTATACAGCAACGAAAAAGGAATGAGGGCGCCGAATTTCGGAAGGACCATGTACGGAAACTATCCCGGGTTTTACGGGAACAACGGAAACTTTAGGAGCGCTAGTTTGCATCAGAATGGGTATGATTTTTCTCCAAGATAAGATTTTGACCAAAAATCTGTTTGATTTGCAAAAGAATATGGAATTAAAAACTTGAATGACAAGTTGTAAAAGAGCAGCTAAATAGCTTTAATGTAAATAAATCCAAAACGGGATAATTATTATAGTAAGGTCCGATTACAATAAGAAGAACACAGCTACGTCATCAATCGTTGGTTATCGCCGCCAACTGGCAGTTTAGTGTCGTGTTAATATTATAAGAATATAGGAATCATATTTTTAAACCAAACAACTCACATATTTCTTATTTATTGATAAGTTATAGATGATAAATATATTTGAAATTCGAAATAATGGTTATGACTTAGCGGTGTTCTTCTCATTGTAATCGGGTCCTACCTAAAGGGTATTACGAATTGTAAGTAACTGAACGTGCCTTTCTACGTGCCTTTTTGGAAAATAATATATTTTAAAATGTGCCATACTAATTGTTTAAGTAATTTTTAATGTATTTTTTTTACCAAAATTATCTAGTTGCCATATTCGAACTTAAATTACAATTTTAAGAGTAATCCAATAAAAGGTGGTTTTTAAATAATCAAAAAATGATTCTTATATCCGTATTTACAAAGCATTTCTAAATACTTAACTATGTGTAAATCTTTAGACAAACATAATTCATTTTTGGCGTATTGGGTCATGCGTAGCGGCGGCCTCGAATCGGGCACTATCTACCTGAGAATATAAAAGATTTACTCGAATCGCACACTCAATAGAGGATTAAAAATTTGCTTACTGCTCGAACTGGGCATCAACATTTAAGGCTTGTTTGACCGGCGCCTCGGCGGGCGGTCTTAAATCGCAAACCATACTGGCTTAGGCTTACCTAGTGACACTGATATTACTGATGTTGACCCTTTGAAATGGAACCAAAATCTATCCAATACTAAAAAATCTGATTCATTTGAAAACTACTTTATTATTACAAGTTCAATAAATAGGTACATTTTTTAAAAATATATACAAAATACAATAAAAACTTCAATAATAGTACATAAATATACAGAATACATAATAAAAACTACACATAATACATAATTATAGGTACACCTTTAATAATAATACCTACCCATTGTTTATAAAAATAACCTAAACATTTTACGAAATTAAATTTCTCGTCGTTTGTATAATTATCTATTTTCAATTTTAAATATTCATGTCTACGTCTTGTTACTGGATCTTTTAAACTTTGTAATTTTATGTTGAAGTTGAAGGTACCGTCTAAATATATTTTTTAACATTTTGCAAAAACTAAATTTTGCTTCGTCTAACACAAGAAACTCTTTTCCACGTTCACTTAAATGAAACTCTGCTTCCATGTTGTAAAACACAAATTTAAAGGTAGGTTTAAAGCTAATTTTTGATTTTGAGGTTTTATTACTTATTATACCAATTTGTTTGTGTTTAAAACATTAGAAAATTATTAACTAGGGGTTTAAGATAATTACCTACACTAATTTGATTTTGTAACATATTAGAAAATTATTTAAAGGTAAAGGACTGGAAAAGGATAATCCCATGGGCAGTGCTCAATTCGAGAAAAATTTCGCAGGTACCTGAGGCAACCCTTGTAATATTATTTTTAGAATGCCCAGTTCATGCACGCCCATGCGTAGACCCTGAAACGTCATTCATTAAACATTAAACAGGTCCGGGTTAAAATTATTTCTTACTCAACTAATACGCAGTTTTGATTTTCTCAAATTTATTAAATGGGCCCGTTCACTTTCATGTTTGAATGTGAATTAATTATATATTTATAAAGATATTAAACTCTTTTGTCTGGTGGTACTTTTCCCGTTAATATATTTTTGCTAGAAGTAAGGGAATTCCCATAAAATTCTTTCAGTGATTCATTGCGTCAGAAAATCCCTAATTCCGTTCACGTCTCGTATCGGTTATGCTTAAAGACGGCGAGGTTGTCGGAAGTATCCCTAATATAGTAAAATTCCATTATTTTTCTAAAAATCATGAACTTATATTTTCAGATTTAAAGCTGGGAGCTTATTTTTTACTTTTTAATTAAAACAATTATTATTACTCAGGCTGAAAATTAACCAGACCATAATCAAAAAGTAGAAATTTGATTTGCAATATTTATCTGGTAAACGTGGCAACGTTGCATTTATTTCTAGAAGTGGTAGACAACACTATTTAGAAGTACTTACAACGTTGTCACGTTTACCAGATACATTTTCTCAAATAAAATTTCGATCTGGTAATATTCAGCTTGAGTAATACTAATTGTTTTTATTAAAATTTAAAAAAGGTAAGGCTTCCAGCTTTATCTGAAAATATAAACACATTATTTTTAAAAAATGATATATTTTTATCATGTAAATTTCTTTAATAAATGCAGAAGAGGAATGGTGGTGCAATGATACATCCGACAACCGCGGCCTTTTAACTATTAACCGATACAAGACCTGAAGGGAATTAGGGGTTTTCTGACGCAATGAGTCACTGAAAGAATTTTATGGGAATTCCCTTACTTCTAGCAAAAATATTTTAACGGGAAAATTACCACCAGACAAAAGAGTTTAATATCTTTATAAATATATAAATAATTCACATTCAAAAATGAAAGTGAACGGGCCCATTCACTATTTTGTAAATATTGACATAACAAGTATAATTATATTCTATACTACTTTTAATAAAACCAAAACATAAAGCGTGTAAAAAATAAGAGTAATTTTTTTTTGTTACTAATTTGCCATTTTAAAGTTTGAGTTGATTTGACTGTACCTTAAAATGTGACTTTGTGAAATAAGTGATCATATTTTTTCGATTGCGAATGAAAACAGTTTTTATACAAATAATTATAGGATAATAGATGAAATGGTCGTATCGTAAGAACAATTTTGCATTATCGGTGTCACAAAACTTGTATTTGGTGTGTATCTTGACTAGTCTGATCTGTGAAGTAGTTAAAAAAAATCGCTATACCATTATCTAATATAAACAGAACCGTTCTTAGATATTCAGCACCCATTGGCTACTAAAAATAATGCGATAAAGTTATACAAATGTGTCAGAACTAGAAAACGTCATTTTATTAGCATTACACTAAACGAAAACATAGTGTACATATGGAAAACATTTTATTATTGATTTTAGGAAAAAAAGTTATTCTTGATAAAAAGTCCTGCATGACCCAAAACTTAAAATACAGTCATCAGATATCAAATTTTTCAAGCCGTATACGAGGTTTGTCAAAAAATATGAATTTTGCTCAAATCGAAAATTTTCATTAAGAAATTTGCTAAATTCTTCACAAACATCAACAAAAGGAAAGCGTATCATGTTTATAGTAGCTAACGTAATTTATAACGTTTTCAGATATTTACAATCAATGTGTAGAGTGTAGAGTTTATAAAAAATAAGAAAATCTGTTTTTTCAGATAGATCGGTGTAATTGCATATTTGAATGTAATATTCAATTCTAATCAACTTTTCTTAATGAAAATTTTCGATTTTGTCAAAAATAAACGTACTTTACTCTTCATGCAGGACTTTTTATCAAGAATAACTTTTTTTCCTAAAATCAATCCTAAAAATGTTTTCCATATGGTTCCAACTTAAGTAGACACACTGGATATCTATAGACGGAGAAATTCTAAGAACACACAATATTTATCACGAAATTCCAAGATTATTAGTTAATTTGTGTCATAAGAAAATTTTGATTAAAAATAACTAACAAACTCCTAATAACAAAAAATATAACCCAATAAAAATTGTCGCCCCAAAAAGCTGGAGCTCCGGGACTATAGCCCATTTAGCCTTTTGGTTGGGGTGACTCTGAATAAAGCAAGAGTTGACCCACTAGTTTTTACAAAATAAAACCATAAACGCATTGTTTTTGACACTTTAATTACCACTAAACACTAAATAAACGTATTTCTGTGATTGAAATATAATGAAAGAACAGTAATGTCCAAACTTAGAAAAAAAAAAACCAGAGATATAACATACACCGCTGTTTAATCTGCGCAAATGAACTATTAGATTTACTTAAAAGATGTTTAATGGAATTTTGCATTATGAAATAAAATTAACGTGATTTTTTAATATCAAACAGATGCTACGATATTTTATGTAAAGAGAAGGCCTTTTATAGAATATTTCGTTAGAGTTTATTTACTACGTACTTTTTTACAAGAGACTACAGTAAAATGTTGAAATAAAATATTGTTAATCGAACAAAAAATGTTACTCATTGTCTACGAGTATTCTAAAAACAGCATGTGCGCAGGCAAATACTGCAAATCAAACCTTGTTAGTTAATTATATTTTTTCTTCGGCTATTACATAATATGAAAAATTAGTCAAAATGAGAAAATTCTGTTTTGTATTGTTACTTCAAAAAAAGTATATTAGAGCTTCTTTCTTTAGGAATATTAATTAATATAGAGGATCAGTCACATAAAAATCTAGAAGTACATATGTCTAAAACTAGTTAACATTTTAAAATTTAAACCTATTAAAAGTCATTTGATCGCTAGGGGTGGATGATTATCAAAATAAATGATCGATTATTGAAATTAATCGATTGTTTTCGATCAATCGATTATTATCAAACAATCTGTTTTTTCGTATTTCATTTAAAAAAAGTGTTTACAAAAAATAATAAACTAAATATCGTTTATTTTAAATAATCGATTATTTTCAAATAATTTATTTTTTTGTATTTCCATTGAAATAGATTATTTGATGTTTGAAAAATCGAAAATAATCGATTAATCAAAAATAATCAATTAATTAAAAAGTCGATTAACCGATAATCGATTAAAAAAACCGAATTCTCAATTATTTTCGATCAATCGATTATTATCAAATAATCTTTTTTTTTATAGTTCCTCCTAAATTGATTATTCGTTTATCTTTGAAAAATTCAAAATAATCGATAAATCGTAAAATAATCGATAAATCGAAAATAATCGATAAATCGAAAATAATCGATAAATCGAAAATAGTCGATTAATAAAATACTGATTAACCGATAAATCAATAATTCTAAAAATAACCGAAATATTGATTATATAAAATAATCGATAAATTGATTATTTTCATATAATCTATTTTTTTAGTATTTCTTTTAAAACAAATTATTCGACTACCTTTAAAAAA